ACTACTGAGTGTGGTCCCCTTTCGGATGTAAAATTTTCGGCGTTGGTGTCCAGCTTAGAAAGTGTAGAAGACTTACCTTGTTGTCCGACCTAGACCGGAAAGTGAACGTAATCATAGCTATCCTTGAAAACGCTGGTGTACCTGTCATGCAGAGTATTGTGGGTTTGTGCAACTCTTCGGATATGAGCAGGTTGACGATCTCACCTCTTCCTGTGAGCACGTCCTCTGTTAGTGACCACTCCAGTCGGCCGCTATTTCTGACCCCCTTCATAATAAGGACGATTGGCAGGCTGCTGTTCCTGTGAAAAATAGGCGAATGAAGACTAAGAAGGTAGTACTTTAGCTTAAAGTTCAAGCGAAGGGGGACGCAGCGTGTAGCACAAGCCTCTTGAGCACAACACCACCGGAACTGAGTCCCGTAGTCCTTCTGCAAGCTCCATCTTGTACAGCCGCCAATTCTACACAGACGCATGTGTCCCCACCCCGCGGTTCTGAAACACGCGCTGTAAACACCCCACGTCGGGGCGAGTTCTATCCGGATAGCAGCGTAATCTTTAGAAATGTCATTGAATCTTTTCCGCATTTTCTAAGGAAAGAATGTTACCTGATCTTGAATGGTTTAAAATTTGCGTCACTACACTCCTTCCGTCTGGATTCCCTGGAGTGACCGTGCGTAAACTAACCAGACTTGCAGACGTGCCATTCAGTGGCTCCAACCCTAAGCCTCACCTTCTACGGGGGATCCTTTCCACACCAGAGGAACGCCAAGCGCTTATACGATTTGCTTTTAAATGTAAACGTTCTGGAGTCAACATAAGGCCGGATCTTTCTCGATCGGACAGGGCGAAATTGAAGGCAGCTATCCAAGACCTAAAGTCACGTCGCATTGCTGGTGAAAGTGGTCTACGTTTTGTGGGTTTTCGTGGAACAAGTCGACTGTCCACTTCCGTTATGCCAGAGCCCACTCTGGTGGCGCAGGATCCTGGATGCATCATACCAATACCTTTCATGTAGTGCACAGTAATGTACGTAACCTGCGTAACAACATGTGCGAGGTTGGCGCTGTTGTGGACCTCTGTCATGCAGATGTCATCGCTTTTACTGAAACTTGGCTGTCTTCGGTGGTCGTGGACGGTGACATACTCCTACCTGGTTACGAACTATTGAGATCAGATCGTCCCTGCAACCGTCGCGGCGGTGGAGTTGCGCTCTACCTAAACTCCTGTTTACTTTTTTCCTAAACATATAAGTTCTACGCAACTAATAGGACTTTTGAAGCTTTTTCGCTTAAAGTGTGCACCTTGTCTTAGCAGTTGAAAATTGTGTTAGTGTAAATAAGCCCTGGCAGCGCTCCCAGAAGTTTTATTGATTTCAATCGCGATCGCTCCACCAACTGGTGCTTAGTGATGGATGATTTTAACTTTCCGGAGAGACTGGCACAACCTCTCCTGCGAGGCTGAGACCGTAGGTAGGCTTAGCCGCCGAACTAGTGGAGCTGAGGCTGCAAACCCCCTACATCAGTTTGTAAATCAGCCTACATGATTCATGGAAGGGCAATCTGCGTCAATTCTTACCAAGTCAATCAAATTCGTAATTAACATCGTTTGCGGTCAGCCACTTGGAGTCAGTGATCACGACTGCGTCTGCTTCGACTGTGCTCTTAGTAGAGCCTAAGAGAAACGTGTGGCTATGGGTTCGAACATCCGGTGTGCTGATTCTGACGCAATGAGCTCTAGTGCTAATCTGTCACCCTATACCATTTTGGCACCAGACGATATCCAGACGGCTTGGGATAACTTCGAAGCATTCCTTCCTGATGTGTCTCTTCCCACATTCCTCTTTCGGTTGGGAAGAAAGTAAACGTCAGACCACCCTGTTTTGATTTAATTGCACGTCAACTGTTGAACAGACGGTCCAAGTGTTGGCAGAATTACATTAGGAATCAATCTGTCCGTGCCTTTCGGTGTTATCGAACAGCACGGAACGTATGTAAGCAGCATCTAAGGGACGCTCGACTTCGTTATGAAATGGAACTAGCAAACACGGCTTCGACCAACCCGAAGCGGTTTTTCGCCTATGTCAGAAGACGAGGGCGTGCTAATTCATCGATCCCGGTGTTGCACGGACCCAGTAGGGTTGACCAGCACACTGATTACTACAAAGCCTATCCTCTCGGAGAACATTATGCGGAGACGTTTAGCCTGGAGTCACCTTTACCAACTAACGCTTTAGAGGAGAAAGTCCCGGCTAACTCTTTATTGACTGATATCTCCGTATCAGAGGCCAAAATGCTTTCACTGCTGCAAGAGCTAAATCCTACCAAGGCCGCTGGTATCGATGCCATTCATACGCAGTTGCTATATGAATCGGAGAATGATTGTGAGCTGTTAACGCGTTTGTTCGAAGTCCCTTCCTAGCTGCGCGTTACCTGCTGACTGGAAGGAAGGTGTTGTCTGTCTCCTCTATAAAAAGGATGGCAGACACCTCCCTGTAAATTACAGATCCATTAGTTTAACCAACGGACTGGTTAAGTTGCTAGAAAAGCTGGTGAGGGATGCCCTCGAAAACTATTTCATGGCGTTTGACATTCCCAGCCCATTTCAATATGGTTTTCACAAAGGATATTCCTGTCTGACCAAGCTACTGGTTGCTCGATAGAGCTGGGCGGAGTCTGTCGATTAGGGTCAATCGGTAGACGTACTGTTCATTGACTTCTCTAAAGCGTTTGACTCCGTACCACATTCTCCTCTTTCCCTTGAGATGTGTTCCAGCGGCGTCTCCGGACACGTGCTTCAATGACTATCAGCATTTCTTGAAGGAAGAGAAATGGGTGTTCGAGTAGGCACTAGTCTTTCTTTCCGACAAGTTGTGTTGAGCGGGGCCCCACAGTGATCAGTCCTTGGTCCACTGCTGTTTGCTGTACACGTTAACGAACTGCCGGAAGTGCTCGGGGTATCTACTTTCATGTTTGCGGACGACTTGAAGTTCTGGTGCACGGTGAGCGACTCTGGTGACTCCCAGGCTTGGTAATAAGCTCTCGACAGACTGCTTGATTGGTCCGTTCTGTGGCAAATGCCAATAAACCATAGTGTTCAGTAATGCGCATAGGCTCAAATAACCCGATCACGCACTACATGCTTGACGAGAACACATTACTCAATGTGTCCCAACAAGTTGACTTGTGTTACCTTAGCTCCGGACTTCAAATCCAGCGAGAGCTCGAAACGAGCGGTTAGCAAGGGCTTCCGAACGCTCTGGATGATCCGTAGATCATTTGGTATGTTAGCGGAAGAGATGTTTACTAAGTTGTTTACAGCCTTGGTTAGACGGCACCTGGAATACTGCGTCCAGGCTTATCCCCATTATCTGACTCATGACAGGACGGCGTTAGAGCGGGTCTTGAGGAGTGGTACCAAAATGATCTGAGGGTTGCGGCACTTGTCCTACTCTGACAAACTGTTCAAGCTAAAAATATTCTCACTACACTATCGCCGTCTTCGTGGCGATTTAGTACTCATCGTATACTAACAGGGCAGATCAGCCCAGACCTATCCTGGTTTTTTCATCGTGCTCAGTTACCTAATCTTCATGGGCATCCCAGCTGATCGGGTTCGGGCTGACACTCGTTTGTCGCGTAGAGTGATAGATTCCTGGAATGCTCTACCCGAGGATGTCGTATTGTCACCCACGACGACAGAGTTGAAACTTCGCCTTGACGCCCACAACTTGCAGCTCCGAATCTACCTTTACTTGAACTTGCACTCCTTAATTTTTTTCGATTGCTCTCCAGTTCTTTCCATCTTAATTACTCGTACTAAATTCTTCTACAAATTTTATATGTCTCTCAGTTTGTCTAGACTACAGTGTTACTCTTCCTTTTCTGATTGCACGTGGCCGGAGTAGCTGGGTCTGCTCGCTCAAGGCGCGTGGCTCTTGATTGGTTGACCACGAGGTGTTCTGCGCGTGCTGATTCGGCTCATACAACTGGCAAATGGAACACCGAACTCGGACGTGGATCAACGAAGCATCCAGGATGGAACGATCATGGGAATCTCCTTTTGTTCTTACCCCATTTGAATTTCAAACTTTTGTATTTGAATTTGAGTGACATCACTGACTTGTACTTTCGCAGTGACGAACGTCGTACGTTTTGTTGGATGCAGCATTTTCATGCGTAACGCAGTTGGCCATCTACATCTGCCGGCTTCGTGTTCAGATGATACGGGTTGATCTATGGTCAGTAAACTTAGAAATTCAGTTAAGCTGGTTTAGTAAATGCCGTCACATATGTCAGCAACTACACCTACTACTGGTCCAAATTCTATTTTACCATCGCTACTTAAAGAAGATTCTGAAATCATCCTCAACGCTTCGATCCGTTCTTCAAAGCAGTTCTGTTGGAAAACTGTCTCAATTAACTGCTATGAATCTGAATTAGTGAAGAGAAGAGCGGCCACGTCTTGTGTATAAACAAGTGTGGTTTCGACTTGGCACCAGCAAGGGCAAAGTGGCTGGCATCCGCTCTCAGCCACCGCTTTCCTGCAGAACAGGAATCATGAATCTGACAGAAATACCCAAGTTTCCGACCGGGATGAGGATAAAAATATTCTGCTTATATTTTGTGGTAAACCGAAATTGTCAGCACGATACGGTCATAATAACGCATGCCTCCTTTCAGGATGATGCTCTCTGTCTCAGACGTGGCTCAATCACTAGATTAACGATATTGTGGCACGCACTTTCTTGATTGTTGCTGCTATCGTTTTTCGCCCGAAATTGTCACCCATCTTCCACTTGATTTTCGTTGGCTTTGTCTCGATTAACTTGTTGATGCTCTTTCATGCTTGCTGTTTTGTCTCCACGGTGCCACACACCAATGCAACTGGCTCCAGTTCAATGTTATGCGTGGATCAAAGTTAGAAAAGTGATGTTGGAACGAACTGCCATAATTACCATGTGACTAAGTGCTCATTTGTTCTGGTCGGTTTTGCTTCTTTCAGATCTACAACCAACGGGAATACTTGAAGAAAATCGACGCTGATAAGCTGGAATTTGGACTTCCACCGTGTTTAGTTGAAAAATTCCCAATTGCAATTCATTCTGACGAGTATGTCAGCTGTTCAATCTCGTTGCTACCCCCATTCTGATAACTAATACTTTGAGCTTCGAAATTGGTAGAAATGCGCTGAGGAACGCATATTAACAGATTCATAAGAGTATTAAAGAACGCATTACCTGTGAGACAATGATCGACTGAAAGCTTGCACGACCACTCATATCAATCTATTGGGGCTTATCTATCGCTTCTTCGTTTGCATCGTGTCTGAACAGGAGGGTGTCGCGTGTTCGGGTACTCCCGCTAAACACTGTGTAATAGATACTATTTCTACACAGTGATTCCAATTTTTCTACTTTTCTGCACTATTTAAATATGATGACTGACTGCTGGTATGACACACGCTTTTTAAGTACTTGTCACCATCGATGATATCCTCCCTGTTACTCTTCTTCAGAGTCACGTTGACCCCCGTTCATCTGCTCGAATTTCACCCATCGCTTTCGTGCACACCCAGTTTGGCTGAAGCGATGGACTGCAGCGTGGGTCTGTTGTACGAGCTCTTCGCTCCCACACAACCGATGCAAGAGATTGTTCTGGATAAACGCTTTTTTGACTTCTTACGATATGAAGTGGAGAATCTGAAGCCCTTGGGAGCGTCATATACTGCCCAGTTACAGCGCGATGTGAGTACTCCGATTAACATATTTCATGCAATAGTCCATAACTTCTCAAAGTCAGGTTTCATTATAGGGCAACCTTATAAAAAGAAATGATGCAACAGCGCTGTTATATCAACAAGCTATCTTTGTTCGAATTGTCCATCACGTGGGACCGTATTACACACAGAGTTAACATTAATTTATTTCTTTTCTCGAACCTACCAAAATGTCAAGATGAATGGGCCGTGGTAGATCAAAGTTGAGATTAACAACGAACGTTGTCGCAAGTCTTCTGATAGCATCAACTGTCACCAACTACCCTCCGTACCTGCCTGTGACGATTCCTGATTTCCACTTAAAGCAACTACTTTTAGGACTTAGCCAGGCTAGTGGAAGATAGCATTCCATGTCAATCCAAAACAGACTGGTTTGTTTCGGCAGACGGTTTTCTGTCTTTAAACCGAAAAGCCTGCGTTATTAGTGTTGTGTCTGATTATCACGAGTCGAATTTGGTCGTGTGATGCACGTTACTCGTGTGTGAATAAAAGCGCATGTAGCCAAATGAACCCTGATATGACCGTGTGTACACAGCACAGTTGTGTTCTCACTTGCACTACTGGCGACGGATTAATCGAACTCACTATGGCCCCCATCGGAACTTTGGATGAATACACTAAATGACCTGTTTCTTGGAACCATTACATTGAGCGCCTGAATTGTTTTCACTCCTCCAATGAACTTTTCAGCGACAGCCGTAGGGTGAATATCCTACTGAGTATCTGTGGCTCATAAACATACGAATTAATTCGCAGCCTGGTGATTCCGGATTTACGATGTACAAAATAATTTGATGAACTGGTCACACTGGTATGCAATGACTACAACCCAAAACCATCACAGATTGTGTATCGGAGTAAGTCCAATGCCCGCGTTCAAGGTGAGAGGGAGTTAGTTGCTTCCTTTATTACCGGTCTTCGGAATCTGAAGGAATACAGTGATTTCAGGAACCACCGAAACGACATGATCTGAGCTTCGAGGTAAAAAAAGAAGTTCGTATTCTGCACTGCCTGTTGGATGATAACCCATTAACGTTGAAAAGTGCCTAGGATATTGTGACGGGCATAGAGGCTGTTGAAAACAATACCCGACTTTTGCAGAATTTGCAACTAAATTCAAGGCCATGCACTGAAGAGTTCCCGGCCGAAGTTTACCTGCTATCGCTGCGGCTTGCGGAAATCTCACACCAATGAGTGCAATTATGTGCAAACAATTTGTAACGGATGTCGCATACTTAAGCATTTAGCCCGTATGTGTTGATCCAGTGCAAACTCACATTCTGCGGCGGTAGACAACCAACAGTTTGCTCTTGAATCTCAGGAATACGTGTTACACACAACTGCCCCACAAACACAAACGACATTTTGCATACGGCTATAAGTGGATTCCAGTGCCTTTAGAAATTGACACGGACAATGCAGTAACATGGAACGAACAAACTTAGTCACAAAAATTGGCACCGACGAACTACACCAATTTGTGTCAGGCGCCCCCGCAATTACAAACCTACCTGAGGGATGAAATGAAACTACTGGGGTGCAGGACGTTGAGGTACCATAGGGAACAATGGAACAGCGGAAAATGGGATAACATGGATAAAAACTCCAAGGTTTGACAGGTCCCGTCGGATGGTTTGTGTGACACTATAGTGAGACGCGAATCTGTGGCCTCACCATAGTATGCACGTTAACATACAAGAAAATCCGTTTATCTCGGTTTCGTGGGGGTTGATGAACGTAATGTTTGTCTGCGTCTTTCCATCATTCACTGAACAGAATTCCAATCAAGCAATGTAAGTGGTGTAATGCATCGTCGAGTGTTTTTACAGTTGGGTAGTGTGAGCGCGCAAATGACAAAAGTCGAAAGAACGTTCCATGGTCGACAAATTCACAGAGAAAAAAATCATACCTTCGGCATTCTATCCGATGGTATTGGGTGGTCAGTTTCAGCTGATGATCACTGAGTTTTGTGTTGCGGCCGTTTCAGGAGGTGGCGGTCAACGTGACTGAGATTTATCCAGATCCGGTAAGCCAGAATGAGTTCGCTCCGTAGACGGCGATAACTTCCACTGTACATTGCCAGGGCTTTTAGTCGCAGATGTTATGGCGGGTGAAGCAGTCATTTTACCTTTTTGGTTGCTTTTCACTGTGCGGTCTCCAGTGCAACCAGATTGCATTTTAGCCAGGGTTGCCAAGCATGAAGCATGTATTCTATATGGGGCCCCACATTCGCATTGAGCATTCGCAGAAAGATGGAAGCGTCGAAGTGCCCGAACGCCCTGTGTAGAGGACCGATATTTTAGTTTGCGGTTTTGAACACCTCCAAGGACTGCTGCGAACAGCCCCAAGGTCATGCCCCTCTGAGGTGATTCTCTGTGTATAGTCTCCAAGCTTATATTCGATAGTGGGTTTGTGGTGTACATATACACTTTTGCACTTGCTAGCGTTAAACGGAAGTAGATTTGTCTGTGATCATACAAAAGCATGGTCTGAGTCTCGTGGCCACAACTCTTGATCCTCCTGAATACCGGTCGCGCGCCATATCTTGATGTTATCGGTAGCATTCAGGGAATTCGACTAGATGATGCGCGCAATGTTGCTGACGAAAACGAATAATGTGCACAGCCCAACACTGACCCTTGTGGAACACCTCAGTCCACATCAGCAGGATAAGAAAATGTGCCACGTGCCCGAACGTGAAACAGCCGCTGAAGAAAGTTTTCAATCCATCCAAAAACATCTTTCACAATTACGTATCCTTGTAACTCTTGGAGAGGAATTCCTTGATATAAGTGGTCGAAGGCTTTGGAAAAATTGGTTCCACTATCCAATGTTTCTGTGGAACTGCCATGCGACATCAGTAGGTTGGTAGTGTTAAAGCAAACCCTGTTGTTTCAGTGTTGGGTTTTTCTACTTAGTGCATTAGTACCTCAACTATGATCGACTCTATCACCTTTGAGGGGCCTGGGAGAATAATCACTGGGTGGTAGTTGGCGGGCTCCGAACGGCTACCACCTTTGAAAATCGGCGTCATAATACCCTGATTCCAAACGCCGTGAACCTGTGGTTCATCCAATCGCGTTATTGCTTCAGCTATCCTTGAAGCTGCCACTTGTAGTGCTTTTGTCAACTTCGGAGGAATTATGGGTCCGTAACGATAACAGTTGCATCAAAACAGTCGCAGAACCAAATGTGACGTGTGTGTACACTGACGTCTGTGGGAATGGGACAAGCATGTTACGAGTCGGAATATCGGAGCTTTTCGTAGCCGTAGAGCGTTGATTGCATCCTCAGCGGTTTGAGCACATCAGTCTGCTGAGGTAAATGTGGGAACGGCACGCCTACATTCCGGAGGTTGTTCACGTGTTTGTAGGGAAACTTGTTGCTAGAACAAAACCTCACGGACAAGTACGTAACAGTGATTACTCTGCACCACGTAGTTGTTGCAGTTATCAGAGCTAGGATTCAATCTGTACACATGCCACGCTACTCTCTTAACGCCATGCGTTTTCGGTTCTGCTCTGTATGAATGATGGGGCTGTTGTAGAACGAACGGGCCTGTTTTTAGATGCGTATATAATCAGCTCACTGTACTTGCCAACCTAGTACATCCAGGCAGTATCAATGGAACGGTCGTCCGAAAACTACTTTTTGGCATCTTTAACTAGTTCTGTTAGTATGTCTTAGTGTGGTTGTGCTTGTGGATACTCCGCATAGCATACATACTCGTAAAGTATTGTTGCGTGATTACTCAACCTCAGAGGGCTCTCCATTGTCGGCTTCGAAATCATGAGCACTTCTTTTGTGAGCACTAACTCAAGCACAGATGGTTTATTTCCCGTTTTGAATCGCGTGAGCGAACTGACATGGTTGATGAGCGGAGAGCTTGCAATAAGCATTTGCAGGTCGACTATTAATTGCTCGTTGTGGGACGCCGGAACTTCCAGATCGTGAACATTGAAGTCATCTGAGGTAGGGGGATGGTTGTATCGTCATCACAAAAGTTTTCCCAGGGCTAATGTCAGGCGGGAGTCCATCTCTAAAGTGGACGTCGGTTGACGGTGAACAAATGCCGCAAGGTAAGTGTCCTTGCTTCTCAGTCGCATACTGCTCCAAAGTGAGTTTATGAGCAGGGTCTTCGGATCGTCCAGCAGTTCGTCCTGCAAGTCACTGCGGTATGCTAAAAGTAAAGTAAACCACCATCCTTGCTGGTGCGATCGTTTCGAAGAAGTGACGCACTATGTAGCATGAGTTCGGCTTCGGTAATTTATGAGGGCAATTGAGTTTCAGTTACGAATATGAAGTCCCAGGCGTATGTTGCTTGACGTAGCCGCAGTTCAACAAGCTTGTTCAGGAGACCATTTGTGCTGATGTACATACAGGAATGTTTCGCTGGTCTCAGTAGTGAATGGAGGTGTGTTCTGGTTGTGATGTTGTGCCGACCAGTGAAAGGCCGACCACTAGTTGTCTTTTGGGTGAGGTGGTGACGAACTTATTTTGTGTCAAATCCTAAGCTCCCGCAATTATTTCACCTCCACTCTTTATATGTAACCTATGGGTTGTGTTCACTGGTTTTGTCGGATAGTTGAGTGGTGTTGTCCGAACCGTTGTCGGAAGTTGTTCGACTAAATTTATGCTCATATGCGTTTGCATAAGGGACACTGCTTTGTTCCGAAGCACTCCACTATCCCTGTTGAGATCTGTCTGGTTTAAAGCGCTACTTTTACAAGCCACGGGTTTCATCTTTTGTAGTTTGATGACCTACGCAGACTAGAGATCGATTGCACTATGATGTTTCCCGAAGAGACGGTCTCTCGAATGTATCTCCACTGCTCCTGATCGTGAGTGATCGCTTTGCGCTCATCATGACCACCAGTCTCGTGAACACCGAGTTCAAGGATGGTCCTGGTTACGCATTCCTTCCGGTATTCTTCCAAGTCATGTTTCGTCTGTCTGCGCTTGCTCCCC